AGGGGGTGGAAAGGATGGGGCCGATAAAGAGAGAGGGGCAGGAGGGCCAGAGCCCTGAGCCCCACCTCCACACAACCCCCACCCTGTGGTTAGGCCAGGACCGCACAGCAGGAAGGGGCCCCCCAGAGAGCTCTTCCAGCCCTCCCTGCAACGATCCTGGGAACCAGTCATTGGTGTCCCTCAGGGGGCATCCTGAGGCCATGGAAGGTCCCCGCTGTGTGGTGTTCCCGGAAGGGAAGCTGGGCCCGGATGACTGCACGAGAGCCAGGACCCCTAGGCACAGAACATCAGGGCCCCTGTCGAGATCAGCTCCTCCAAGAGGGCAGAAGGCCCCGGAAGCAGATCCAGGGTTTCTCCTCACCCCCTCTCCACCCACAGCCCGAGCGACCCTCCAGGGGTCCTGGAGGTGGAGGGGGTGGGGCACGGCTGGGGACCACAGCGGCTGGCAGGAAGGCTGCCCACCTCCCGCTGCAGCCTGGGGCCTAGCCCAGCCCTCTGCCCGCCCCCAGGATAACCCACGCCTCACCGAGGACTTTGTGGCCCACCTGGAGACTGAGCTGGAGCAGTCACGGCTGCGGGAGACGGAGACTCTGGGCGCCCTGCGGGAGATGCAGGATAAGGTTCTAGACATGGAGAAGGTGCGACTGGGCGGGTGTTGGGGGAACTCTGGGGAAAGGAAGGCGAGGGTACCGCACGTGCTTTGGCAGGTGCATGAGCAGGCCCTCGCTGAGAAGGGGCGGCCAGGGGGGCCAGCAGGACAGGTCCGGGAGTCAGATCCCCTGCCCTGGCAGCCCCCGAGGAACTCAGAGCACCTCCCTGGCCCACTTGTCCCCTGCCTCCTCCACCGTGGTGTCCATACCAGGGTCTGGGCAGATGGGAAGTTCGGCCCCTCACCCCCAGACCCTCTCAAGCCCTGGAGGTATACTAACACACACACACACACACACACACACACACACACACACACACAAAGCAGCACGACTCCACAAGGGGCACACTCGCCCTCGTGTACCAGGCACAGGGCCAGCAGCATGGTGGCCTCATGGACTTCCTGGATTGCCCATCCTACCTGTTGTGTCTCCCTCAGGCCCTAGGTTCCAGGATGGAGAGACGGGGAGGGAAGGCGGAGGCCCAAGCCCATCAGGGCTGCTCCCCCTCCTGGAGGAGACACCACCTAGGGGGCTGACTAGGGGCCCCCCTCTCCCACCTGCAGCCCTGCAGGGGGCACCAGGCCTCCTGGTCCCTCCCCAGCTGCTTCCACACTGACTTGCTATTGACTGAATTCCCATGGATCCTCCAGGAGAAGGGAGATGCCTCAGCCACCAGAGGGCAGCAGGACCCACTCACACATGGGCAGAAGCCATGCCCCTCCACCTCCAAGCTGCACTATTTTGGATACCCTCCCCAGTTGGGTGTCTCTGCCATGGCCTTGTGTGGGGCCATCGGCCTCTCCATCCCCATCAGTCAGCCCGCCCAGAGCTGGGCATCCCTCCCACCTCCCTCCACATCAGAGGGAAATGTGAGCCCAGGAGATCTGCCAACCTCCCCGACTCCCAGACCTAAACAAAGGTCAGCGAGAACCTCAGGCAGTGAGCTGGCTTTTGGTCCAAGGGGCTGTAGCACAAATCTGTCATCACTGAGCTCTTGGGAGGCCAGGACAGGGCCCAGTTCAGCCCTCAGTCCGTCCCCAAGAAGACAGGTGCCAAAATCTAGTCTTCTCAGCTCCTTCTGGGGAGGGTCTGGGCCCAGAGGGGGTGATCGCAGATGCCCAGGTGGGTAGCACCTGCCCTCACCCAGCCTGCCTAGTTGTTATTAGCAGTACCACGTTTTAGATGTCGCCCTAGGCCAGCCCTGCGAGAGTAGGTGCTGTTATTACACCCATTTTACAGACCAGGCTCTTTGGCTGGGGCAGCATAGGCGGAGTCTGCTCCTCTTGGGCCTGGTCCGAGTTACCCCAGAGCATCCTGGGGTCCAGGTTGCATCCTCTAGCCCGGAGACCCAAAGCAGGGCTCGGAGGAAAAGGGGGCCAGGGCGTGGGTCCTGCAGGAAGGGCCGGGTGGCTGCACACTTCGGCTGAGCTCTGACCGCTCCTCTCCCCGCAGAGGAACAGCTCGCTGCCGGACGAGAACAACGTGGCGAGGCTACAGGAGGAGCTGAAGGCGCTCAAGGTGCGGGAGGGCGAGGCCGTGGCCTCAGCGCGGGAACTGAAGCTGCAGCTGCAGGAGCTCTCGGACACCTGGCAGGTGAGGGCCTCGCCCGGCGCTCACGAAGCGGCCTCGGGGCTCCGGAGCCGGGGCTGACCGCCCACTTCCCCGCGCAGGCCCATCTGTCCCGCGGCGGCCGCTGGAAGGAGTCCCCACGGAAGCTGGTCCTGGGCGAGCTGCAGGACGAGCTGATGAGCGTGCGGCTGCGCGAGGCCCAGGCTCTGGCCGAGGGCCGCGAGCTGCGGCAGCGCGTGGTGGAACTCGAGACGCAGGTGGGCCGCGGCCGGTCTCGGGGAGGGGACTCGGCGTCCGGGGCAGGCCCCTCGGCTAGGCCGTGACCCGCGCCCGTCCGCCCTCAGGACCACATCCACC